ACCCAAGCAAAAAACGATGCGTGTCGCCGCTGTGTCCTAAGTTTCTAATCTTATGTGACCTTACAGCGCCCAAATGACTGATACCCACGTCTTACATCTTCTCGAAAATGTTGTTTTTAGGAAAACGCTAAGACGCCGAAACTGGCTGAAGAGTTGTCAGGTTGTCTCCGAAAGCTGCATGTGAGTTGAGCTCAAGTGGTTTGATGATATATGTGAGGTGTTCAAGTTCAGCCCTACCGTACTAGAGTCGGCGCGTTCTTTTTGAGTTTGCAGGCTGTTATCCCATGGCGATCGTCGCTCATCTTATTTATGCGAGCGCGTTCCGGTTACGATCCACTTCATTTCTGCACGACCGCAGGCCGCGTTTTGTTTTTATTCCTCATCTTACGATACCGTAAACATATGTCCATACCTGAATACCGTATGCAACTCTACAGGGTGCCTTGTTGTCTGATTAGTAGCTAATTAATTATTCTGTTTTTCACCTTTTTCTCGGCGTCAGAGGATCCTCTTTTCCGGTTTATCTGCATTCTCTGAGTGGATTCTGCATTAGCATAGATGCTGTGCACTTGCGAGGGAAACTGTCAGAATCTGGAATACAATGGATGTTTTTCAGGAATATGCTCGAAGGATTGCAAAACTATCGATTGAGTGCAAACTTGATATCATTGAGGATAAGTACGTCGAGTCTTTCAATCCAGGAATGATGGACGTGGTTTTTCAATGGGTTAACGGGTCCACTTTCGCGGAAGTCGTGAAAAACACCGACATTTTTGAAGGTTTGGTGTTCTTCAGTTTTTAGAAATCAAAAATAGCTTCTCTTTTCTAACGTTTACGTTGATTCTCATCTTGCGATTCTTCTTACTCCCAACTCTAAACTTCGCAGGTGCAAGTCATTGCTGTTGTTGTTCAGTATCACTTTTGTTTGTGAGCTTAGCGGTGTACCGTACAGTATTCTCCGAAATTCCATTATGTAATAATTTCTAGAAATCAATAGGCTGAGTTCTTGAAACGTTGTGGGTTTTTCCTAAAGCCTCATTTAACGAAATGCTCTCTAGTCTGTTAGTGATCCCTGTATTCACTTTCTAAATCTCCTAGGCTTTGTCAGGA